TCTGGTTATTTTGAAGGGTTATACTTGAAGATTATTATGTTCAAGTTTGAAGACAATCCATTCAAAAATAACAAAGTTACAGCCAATAATAGCCTAAAAAAATTACAATTTCAATAATTTGACTTTCAAAGTCAAGGTCATTTATGAGTAAAGGTCAAGGTCTGTTCATATATTGAATACAACAGGTTAGGTAATCATAAAATAAAATTGTTTAATATTACTCAAGAAGTTAATCATATATAATCTTCATGTATAATTTAAATAAATATTAAGGGTTTAAACTTTAACTTAGATTTAAGTTTATTTTAAAGTTTAATTATATCAAACATGCTTTGTTTTGTTGACATTTCATTCTTATCATGCACTAGTTTAATGTTGATTGTAATTGTACTGAGTAACTTTGGAGAACTTAATGATCAGTAATTAAATTAGCATGGCCTAAGACTCTTTCTATACAACAAAGAATGTTTCTACTTTTACTTACACTGAACTTTAAACTTAGTGAGATACATATTGTTAATTTAGCATTTGCATGATTTATAATATGTTTGTAAATATGTTTAGTTGATATTAGTCACTAGTTTTATTGTTACAAATTTTTTGCAAAACATTATTATTTTTATAATCATGGTCAATTGATACTGTTGCAGAATTTTCCATGAATCATAATCTATTTTTAGGATAGTTATGTAAAGCCCTTATGAGCTCTGATTGGCTAACATTCCTTGACCAATCAGAGGGTGGGGGGAAAATCCCGGGATCGCCTATAGAAAAGCCGGGACCCGGGATCATATTAAACATATAGTAATCCTGGGAATTGAACACCTACTCTCGGGGTATTATTATAATTATTAGAAGATATTTTTCAGATAAGCCGGGATTGTATTGAAACATATAGGGATCCCGGGAATTGACCAGTTCAAGAATATAGTTTTCAGAAAAGCTGGAATCGTATTAAAACATAAAGGGATCCCAGAAATTGACCAGTTGAAGAATATAGTCTTTAATTTTTCCAATAATTATAAGTATTGTGATTTTTCGCATTTTAGTTTGTTAATGAATAGCTCTAAATATATTTATATCCTAAGTTAAATTAATTTAACGTTCATTACATACAATAAAAAAATAAAAACTTTTTTCCCTCTATATCTTATACGATCCCGAATCCCTGGCGTCCCGGATCCCGGGATTTTCCCTCTACCCAATCAGAGCAGTTCTGCATTTTACTGGTTCCACACAAACTTATGTTTCCCAGTAGTGTGCATAAATACAGGCACTTTACACAATTTTGTCATTCTGCTGCTAATTTTTGGAAAAGTAACATTTCTAAATCTCTCTAAGGTTAATTAATTAATTAATTTATCTATTTTATTTTAGGCAATTTGGCATTTTTACAATAAACCTTAGAGATTATATTAAAAAATCACTAAACATTTTTTGATCAATTTGTAAGTTATTTAGTAATTATTTTTTACAGAATTAATTAAGAATTAATTTATATCTTATTAATTGTTTTAAATGGCACCATCTTAAATTATTAGATCTGCATTTTTGTTGACAATAAGATTTAAAACAGGGCTTGCTTGTAATTCAGATTTATTAATTTAATAGCGACAGAATCATTAAGGTTATTTTTCATAATTTTTATTTTTAACAACTTTTAAACTGGTTTAAATCTTTTACTCTGCTAGTTAATTCTGGTAATCACATTTTTGGTTTAAATATTAATAGTTTATATTACAGTACCTATTGTCAACTTGTTTAGTTTAAAGTAACTTTTAGTTTAGTATAAATAAAAACTTAGTTCATTAAAAATTTGCTTGTTTTAAATTTATTCAACATTTTTTTATTTCCCTTTGCACTCAAAGGGTGGTGTCATCCTGACAATGAGATTTTTCCCCATTAAAGAGTACTCCGGAGCAAACTAAGAACATTAAAAATAAATAAATAAATGTATTTTCCCATTTTATAAATTTCACAGTAAAAACGTTTTAGCTAGGTTATCTAGATAACGCTATTTTATTGATGATTTTAATCCAAAACTTAATTCTATATAATGACGATACTATTTTTAGATTATGCGTACACATGTGTACACAAAAACGTCGCCGTCGCCGAGTTTCAAAAGTTTATTCAAAGTGCATTTAGGTAATATGCCCATCCATACACAGTACATATAACAAAGCATACAATACAATCAAATGGTCAATGACACTTCTTTATATAACATATATCATTAAGTTACACAGTGTTTTAGCAATCAGAAAACGTTAACTAATAATAGAATATACTATCACTTAGTAACACAATTATCAACATGTCTCGATTCACATTACTGGTAAATAAATACCAAGAACAGATACCATCCTATCAATAAGGAAGTAAATCACAAAACAAAACGAAAATAAGTGCATGTAAAAAACAGTGATACAGCGTTTGAGACAAACTTTTGATTAACTGTAAAGAATAGTGTTTGGAACATCGAAAGCTTTATATAATATTCATTGACAGCTTTCTAATTTCTATTTCATTTTCTGAATTCACCAATGTAACAAATATAGGTATATTTGGTCTTTCTTCAAAAGTGTTTTTTTATATATATTTTTCGTTATTCATTACATAGAGAACATTCTAAAATAAAGTGAAATTCATCTTCCAAAATAAAACAATTTTTGCATTTCTTATCATCAAAAGGTATAGCACTAGGTTTATTCCACCTGCCAGTTTCAATCTCCAGTCTATGTGAAGAAACTCTAAGCGGGGACAGAGCATTTCTAAATTTTTTAATATCAATACAGTTTAAATACTTTTGATATTTAAAATCTGCAAATATTATATATGTACGAGCTCTAGTTGAGTTATTTAGTTCTGAAAACCAATTTTAGATAAAAACATCATTTACTCTTTATTTTACTAAACTAATAAATACATCTACATTGCCTACGCCTTGAGATAACCATACAACATTAAAACCAAGCGACTGTAATAAATCTCTAACAAATCTTACCAATATTTTTTTGTTATGTCTTACCTGTAACTCTCTGTACAATAAATCATAAACTATTTTAACATATTTTATATCTTCAAGCTGTATAATTTTAAGCCAGTATTTTATTACACTTACAATTCTTCTGCATTTCAAATTTGTTCTAAATAAAATTGTTTAGAGTTGTAGTCTGAGGCCTAACATTTTTTTACAAACATTTAAATGCACTTTTTCTAATTTACAACAATCATATATACCGCTTACTTCTGAAGCATAGTTCAAAATCAGGGCGGGATCAATTTATCAGAAAGGTCTAGTTTATGTTTCACAGTTATATATGGGAATTGAATCAAATATAATTGTAATTTATATAATCCTTCAAGGGCCTGACCAGATAGTTATTTCAAAAAAAGTATTTAAAAAGATCCACCAGTTGTAAAGACTACTCCATAAATAAGTAAAGTTTTTTTGGCAATTTTCTAAATTTTTCCTTTATATACGAATTGGAAATGTTCATGTCTTAGTCTGCCTTTTCTAAAAATCATTATTTTAGTTTTCTTAATATCAAACAGTTAATCTCCACTTATCACAATAATTCCCAATAACAATAAACCTTTATGTAAAAGCCTTTTTCTGTTTTCAGATAGAATAACGATATTATCTGCATATAAAAGTAAAAAACAATTTTGAGAAACCTAAATAAACTCCTTCAAAATTCATTCATAATAAAATATTCTTCTATGTCATTAAGATACATGGCGAACAAAAAAGGTGATAAAGATTCTCCTTGTGGGGCGCCTAACAAACATGAACATTCTTCACTCAAAAACATTTTGATATTTTATTCTGGACCTTACACTTCATACATTGAAATTTAATAAACGTTAATATTTTACCTCTTACAGACCATATTTAATTAATTTAAACCATATAATGATCTCTAACGTAAATAGTCTAAAGCCCCTTAGTAAAATCAACAAACGCAGCATATAGTTCCTTATTGTTATTCAACAGATACGTAATAAGGCCATGCAAAACAAAAATGTTATCTATGGTTCCCATTTGTTATCTAAAACCGGACTGACCTTCAATGTAAACTTGATATTTTTAGTATTTAATCTATCATTTAAAATTTTTGTAAATAAATTACCAAAAGAACTAAATAAAGTTATTCCTCTATAGTTACATATATATATGGTCATTTAATGCACAAATCTGTGAAAGTTCAGTAATTTAACCTTCAAGGTCAAAGTCATTAGAGGGCCAAAGTCAATATGAGTTTGATAAACATGAAGGTCTTGTCCTTAAGAATGTTCTGTTATAATATGAAGTCGATTCATTAAATAATAGCAAAGTTACAGCCAAAAAAATGAAAATTTCAATAATTAGACCTTAAAAGTCAAGGTCATTTATGAGTGAAGGTCCAAGTCTGTCTGGTTATTTTGAAGGGTTATACTTGAAGATTATTATGTTCAAGTTTGAAGACAATCCATTCAAAAATAACAAAGTTACAGCCAATAATAGCCTAAAAAAATTACAATTTCAATAATTTGACTTTCAAAGTCAAGGTCATTTATGAGTAAAGGTCAAGGTCTGTTTGGTTATTTTTAAGGGATATCCTTGAAGATTATTATGTTCAAGTTTGAAGACAATCCATTGAAAAATAACAAAGTTACAGCCAATAATAGAAAGAACAAGCAAAATTTGGACTTTTGACCTTGAAGGTCAAGGTCATTTATGGATGAAGGTCAAGGTTAGTGTGGTCTTCTGAAAGGTCTTGTCATTAGGGTTGTTGTGGCCAAGTATAAAGACAAGACACCAAGAAATGAAAAAGTTATGATCCAGGTACAAGTTGCGGATGGCCCAACGCCGCCAGGACTATAACAAGACCTCTACTTTTTTTAAAAAAAAAGTCGAGCCTAAAAATGTATAACAGAATACAACTGCTGTTTATTTTTGGGAAAAGTTGAGGAATTATTTTCTTATGTAAATAAAATATGTAAGTTAACTGTACTTGATCAATCCACTGTCTTGTAACAACTCTCTGCTTAAATTGAGTGGAATGTCTTCACTGTCAACAACTCCTGTCGGTATTAGGAAATTTACAAAATATTAATAATAAATCAAAACTAGAATTATCGCTGAATGTGATTCATACCCCCACCAATGTCCTTGAAAGAAGACGACTTGACAAGGTGGTTAAGGGAATAACTTATGTGGCACAAATACATAAAAAGAAATTATCTCTGGTGAAAGAGACTAATTGTACAGGTAATAGTATAAATATATATTATCAAATCATGTTCGAAACAGTTACAAATAACTTTCATTTTCCCAATGTACTAAACATTTTATTTATAAGTCAACTTTTTTTGCCTTTTCAAGTGGCCTTGACCTTTAATCTGGCACAAAGGTAAGATGGGTTTTGCACATCGCCCAGTTTGGGTGAACTTTGAGTAAAGTTTGAAGAAAATCCTTCCATTAGTATAGAATTTATAGTAGTAGACACAACATATTGTCTAGTATTGGTTATATGAAAATTTGAAGACTTAAAAGGGGCAATTAACTTTGTCAAAACGCAATACAGGGTAATGAAACTTGACCTGCATATCTTATTTGCGACACCTCATATATCTTTTAAGTTTCAAGCAAATGCCTGAGCTAGTTTAGAATTATTTCAAGCTACATGTTTAAAAATTTAAGAACATTTTTCTAAGTCAAATTTTGACCTTCAAGATGTGACCTTGACCTTTAGCCGGCACAAAGGTGACATGGATTCTTGCACATAACCTTGTTGAGGTGAACATTTCAGTAAAGTTTGAAGAAAATTTTTCTTCCATTTAGCTTATCTAGGATTTATAGAGCGGACACGACATATTGTCTAATATTTGATTGTATGTAAATTTGAAGACTTAAAAAGGGGCATAACTTTGTTAAAATGCAATACAGAGTTATGACACTTGAACAGCATATCATAATTGTGACACCTCAAATATATTTTAAGTTTCAAGCAAATACCTTTTCTAGATTCAGAAATATTCAAATTAATGTTAAAATTTTGGTTGAGATGAACATTTGAGCCAAGATTGAAGAAAATCTTTCAATTAGTGTAGGACTTACAGAGCGGACATGACATACTGTGTAATATGAGATTGTTTGATATATGACCTTCAATTGTGACCTTGACCTTGAGCTGACACATGGGCAACATGGGTTCTGCAACATTCCTTGTTGAGGTGAATTTTGAGCAAAAGTTTGAAGAAAAATCCTTTTTTTCAAGTAGGTAGGACTTCAGAGCGGAACAACATACTGTGTAATATTTGATTGTTTGATTTTGACCTTCAATTGTGACCTTGACCTTGAGCTGGCACATAGGCAACATGGGTTCTGCACATCCCCATTTTTGAGGTGAGCATTTGAGCCAAGTTTGAAGAAAATCTTTCAATAAGTGTAGGGACTTACAGAGCGGCGGGACACGCCGACATACTGTGTAATATTTGATTGTTTGATATTTGACCTTCAATTTGTGACCTTGACCTAAAGCTGATACATGGGCAACATGGGTTCTGCACATCCCCTGGTTAAAGTGAACATTTGTGCCAAGTTTGAATAAAATCTTTCAAGTAGTGTAGGACTTACAGGAGCGGACACGACATACTGTGTAATATTTTGATAGAGTTTGATTTTTGACCTTCAATTGTGACCTTGACCTTGAGCTGACACATGGGCAACATGGGTTCTGCACATCCCCTTGTTGAGGTGAACATTTGAGCCAAGTTTGAAGAAAATCCTTCAATTGGTATAGGAGTTATAGAGCGGACACGAAAATGGAGACGGACCGACCGACCGACCGACGCGACAAAGCGAATCCATTATAGCCCCACCAAATTTTGTGGTGGGGGTATAACAAATTTTCATTTGATGTCGAAAGTCTGAATATGTTATTTTCTTTGACTAAATCATTTAGTTTTAATTATGTTTTACTGTATTCATATACACAAAATATACAATTCCACAATTTTACAAACATATTCATCAAGTCTATATACAAAAGCATAAAAAAATTATGCTGAACACAAATTTAAAAATCAGAGATATTTAATCTTAGTTTTGACATATTTGATGTCAATAGATTGGACATGTTTTTCTTTATCTTTATTTATTCATTTTTTTATTCCTTATGTTTTACATTGCATCAATACAGTATAGGTCACATTGCATCTTTCCAGCTTTACTGGTAGAGGAAGACCTTAGATGTCCTTCCATGCACTATTTCAGGAACCTGAGTAAAACCATATATAGATTTTTCATAAGCTAGCTCTAAGCTTTCTCACATGTAAGAATATAATGTAACTGTTCGGATTCAAACCCAGAGCTGTGTTCGACAAGTGGTTCTAAGTCAACCACTTTAACCACTCCTACATATTTTTTTAACATTTACCAAATCATTCTAGCAATCATGCACTCTGTTACCTTTCTGCCACATTTATATAATTATGAACAAACACTGCTATGTCATTGAATATGTATATGTTACATAAAATCAGGTTATAGAGAACTAATGTCCGTTTCATAACTGATGTGACATTTCTGTTCTGTTCTTATGTAATAAATTCATTAAATTTCGTAAAACCGCAATCACACATTTATTTTTATATAAGTTCAGCATTATTTATGACATCATATTCTGGTCTAAGTTTGTAAAGTGTACATATGAAAAAGACATACCTTTCATAAATCTGAGCCATTTTGGAAGTATTGTGTTGGATTTGGACATGATAATAACTTTCATACTGTAGAGCTGTAGACTAACTTCTGTCTCACGACTCATGTCAAACAATGCTAAAATAATAAGGGGTTTCTTTATTGAATTGTAACAAAACAAGAAAATTGAAAGCCTTGTTAATTTTACTATATTTACCAATTGAAACTAGAGCTATCACTAAAGGTGTTTATACCCCCCCCCCACAACATACCTTTGTTTACGATCAAGTGCCAAGTCACAATGATTATGATGTTTTAAATTGGACATTATTACACAAAACTTTTTTATACCAAATAAATATTGTTTCTTAATTTAACAAGGAAAAAGTAACTAAGGACAATAACTCTTAAAATTCCTATAGATAGAGTTATTGTTCTTGTGCACTGCACTTCCTCTCATTGCTGCTTGACCATTGTTATGAAATTTGGTTTGAAATCCAAATCAGTACTTACAATTATTACTCCGGACAAGGTTACAAAGTTATACTCCGGACAAGGTTTACAAGTTTATACTCTGGAAACAGGGAAAAAATACAAAAGGGGCAATAAAAAAAACTTTTTCTTTGCGGGCCCCCCCCAAAAAAATTAAACCTTTCTAAAAAGGGGGGATTTAGAGGTTATTTGATTCTTGTGGCCACTGCACTTCCTCATATTAAGGTTGACCATTGTATGAAATTGTTTTGAAATCCAACCAGTAGTTTACAAGTTATACTCCAGACAAGGAAAAGTAACAAAAGGGCAATAACTCGTAATAAGGTCAAGATGGAGTTATGGTTTTCTTGTGCACTGCACTTACTTCTTATTGTGGTTGACAATTGTATGAAATTGTTTTGAATTTCCAATAAGTTACTTTTCAAGTTTATGCTATGGGACAAGGAAGAGTAACATAAGGGCAATAATTCTGGTAATACTCTAGACAGAATTATGCGTTCTTGTGGCACTGCAACTTCCCTCATATTAAGGTTGACCATTGTTATGGGAAATTGTTTTGAAATCCAACCAGTAGTTTAAAAGTTATATTCTGCGACAAGGAAAAAGTAACTTAAGTGCCAATAACTCTGTAATTCCTATAGATAGGAGTTATGGCTCCTTGTGCACTGCACTTTCTCTTTTATGTGCTTGATCATTGTATTGAAGTTGTATTGGAAAAGAAAACGCAAGTTACCGCTCGACCCGACCGACTGACCAACCGACCGACCGACCAACCCACCGGGGACTCCTATATACCCCCCAATTGGTTTTGGGGAGTATAATTAAGCTTAGCCAGTTTGTTTTTCTTGAATGTTTTGTTGATTTGTAAATCTGCTTTACTTTCAACCGATTCCTTTGCAGTTCTGAAAAAAAAAATATTTCATAATCATTCGGACTTTTTCTTTAGTACAATACTTTTAAAGCTCCAACCAATTTTAACTAGCACCAAAAATCTCTAACAAAAGTTGTAAGCAAAACATTGCTAGACTGGGTGACTATTTTCCTACCTTTATTGCTAGCCCCAAATGGGATTTTATAGACTCGGTCTCATGCCTTTGCTTATTTTTTTTGCAGACTGCTTTTGTAACAGGTGTTTAAACAACTATACTGATGCAAATCACTTTATCATATGGTTATTACCATACTCGAACAAGAGCGTCGTATAGTAAAAAAAGCATATGTCAATGGGACTTTGAAAATATTTGAGTTATTACAAAAAAAACGTTAACGTAATTCTAAGTCTAAAAGGGGCATTATTCTGTCAAAATGCTCGATACAGTTACCTCCCCTGTCTTCAGGTTTGGGTCATGGTGGTGAAACAAGTGTGCAAAGTTTCAAAAGCCATATTTGTCAAATGGAACTTTGAAAATATTTGAGTATTACAAAAACTTTTCATAAATTTTATAGTCGAAAAAGGGGCATAATTCTGTCAAAATTGCTTCGATACAGTTACCTCCTTTCTGTCTACAGGTTGGGTGTTCATGATGCGTGAACAAGTGTGCAAAGTTTCAAAGCCATAGGTCATAGACTTTGAAAATATTTGAGGTATTACAAAAACTTTAACGTAAAGTCTAAGTCGAAAAAAGGGGCATTATCTGTCAAATGCTCGATACAGTTACCTCCCCCTGTCTACAGGTTGGGGTCATTGATGTGTTGAACAAGTAGGTGCAAAGTTTCAAAGCTATATGTCAATGCGGACTTTGAAAAATATGAGTATTACAAAAACTTATCATTAATTCTAAGTCGAAAAAATGGGCCATTAATTCTGCTCAAAAATGCTTGATACAGTTACCTCCTTCTGTCACAGATTGGGGTCATGATGGTAAACAAGTTTGCAAAGTTTCAAAGCCATTATGTCAATGGACTTTGAAAAATATCTGCAGGTTAATTACAAAAACTGTTAACATAAGTTGGTTACGCCGACGTGGACATCAACGCCGACGCTCGGTGACTACAAGTGAGCTCTAACTTTCTTCTTATCGAATAGTCGAGCTAAAAATGTCCGATGAATGACAACATTACTTTAAAAGACAATCGAAAATTGAAGGGGGGACCATTTCTTCTTCAGCACCAAGAGCAGTCTTATAAGTTGGAGTATCTACTGTAAACTGTTAAATTTAGATTTAAAAACAGTATTAAAAATCAAATAAAAATTAAGACTTTTTCAAAAAAAAAATATAAAATTTATAAGAAGAAGGATGTTGAAGTTGTATAAGAGACAAAATGTATCATACACAATGTGCAAAAAATAATATTAACCAAGTTTTCTTTAATATATATAGTGAAAATCCCTTAAAATCATTCAAATGGGACTGACCAAAATTCAAAGGCAATGACATATTCATAAACACAATTCTAATTTATCACTATTATGCCTGTGGTCTGGAGACCGCAAGCGGTATTGGTACGCGGCATGGAGGAGCACTGACCTTGTCGCGTCATGAGGAGCACGTGTCTGTAAACCTTACCATAATTTGGTAAATTGAACCCTTTTCGAAAAACCTGGGCAAATACCGTTTGCCGGTTACGACGGATTTACCTCTAGGGAAATAGCAGAATTACATCTAATTAGAACAAAAGAAAACTATTAAACGTGATATTTCTAATTTTCTAAAAATATTTTACCGTTTAAGGTTGAAAAACTTGAATGATGTGTTAAAAATTATTCAAATGTTTCTTAATATGTATCTCAAATTTACAGACAATAAAATTTGTTTATTACTGAAAATCTACAAAATTGGAAATATCGATCGTAGTGGCATCTGGCCATAATAATAGAGATATTTTCTGCTATTAAACTTGTTTAATTATATTTATTTTTTGCTCGGAATTAATTCATAAAATGGTTAGGCCTATTTTAATCATTTCTTAAAAAAGGAAATAATTGTTTTATGTTCGGCCCTTCTCGTCATCAAACGGTCACCAGTTTCCAAGACCTTCTTCTATTATTGATCGACTATATTGCTGTAACCCCCAAACAATGTTGAAAATAGTTTAAATGAAAATATCTTATAAACTCTATATCAAAATATAAAAAAATGATCCCGCTAGGAAATCATTTTACTTGCTACCCACATGCGTTTGTATTTAGTACATAGAAAATGGCTCCTTATATTTAGCGGGGCAACTGTCTTGTAATGCTAAACTGTATCTAGTTTCGTAGTCGTATGTAGTTGGCGATCAGGTCGTTAGAACTCTTCATGGCATTTCTTCAGTTTACATCCTTGGTTCACAGGAAACTTGAAATTTTATCAAATAACCAATATTAATGATTAATATCCATATATACCCCTACTATACTATAAATAAACATATTAATTATTATATGAGTATATAGGGTATATTTGGATATTATCATTAATATTCGGTTATTTGATAGAATTTCAAGTTCCTGTGCTTGGTTCAAGCGTCCAAAGAGCTTATTACAGACGGGAAAGAGATCATCATTTTACTTTTTATTATTTTTTGTTTGATTTAGTGTTATTGTGTTGCAGGATCATATGGCAACTTTCCCTGCTGTTCCTTTCTTTTTTTTTTTTTTCAGTTATAGAGAATTATTTTTGTTGGGTCTTTCCATCACACTAATACAGCAAAGGTCATTATTGACAAACTTTCCAGCTTTTACTTGGTTCGAACACCTCCTCAGGTGCCCCACAGTTGTATTTTTTTCAGGCTCAAGTTGGTACCTTAGTAAAACCATTTGAAATTTTGTCTGACTAGACTGAATAGCTTTCCTCTACATGAAAGCAATCCAAGATCCCTAACGGGATTCTAACTCGCTTACCGAAAAGGACATTCTTTTTCCACCAAGAATAGTGCTAATGCATTTTTTGCGCATTATTATCTGCAGAAGCCCTCAGATTATTCAATCTTTCACCCTGCTGCTTGGGCTTTAAATGTGTCCTCTTGCTTCTACTGACTGATGTTGATGTTACCTTCTTTTATTTTTAATAAAACATTCCCTAAATTGACAAAAGGAATTCAAATTACCTGTACAACATTAACTTTCTTGCCATTAAGGTAGATATCAACTCCAACAAAGTTACTGTATTTTGTTATTACATCTGTTAAAAACAGAAGGAAGTAACATATAAGAAACATCATAGGAAACTCCGCGAGTCGGATGTGTCGCCTTTGAACAAGTATAAGCTGTCACTTATGCATTTGTCCACTTAAATATTGATTATTTATAAAACACGGCTCTAAACAATGTACATCCCGGATTTATATTAAATTACAATTGTACTATAAATCCGTGATGTACATGTACCTTCAACTTTTAGGGCATTTGAACTGATTGTAACAATGTTACATCAACAATTTGATTGTTAGCTTGAATAGCTTTTATTGTGTTAGGAGAATTGGCCCGACAAAAATAAAGTAATATAATTAAACAAAAAGCCAAAAACTCTAAAAAATCATGAAGTATAGTGCATTGCACTTCTTCGCATTTAAGCATCCTATGAAGTTTCAAGTCCATAGCTCTTATAGTTTTAGGTGAAATGGCTGAGACTAAAATTAAGTATATCAGGCGAAACAACCAAACTTTAATGAGTTAACTGTTGTTTAGCCAGTAATGAAATGGAGGGGAAATTATGCTTTTAAAT